CACACACACACACACACACACACACACACACACACACACACACACACTACAAGACAGACTGTAGAACACAGACATACGAGCAAGCATAGGTTCACAAATACATACCCAGACACACAGCTTAGTCATTAACGCCCCTGAAGCGAGACTTACAGACACACTCTATGTACACACGGTATCATGGACATACATTGTTCACTAACGAATAGAAGAAACATGCAAGTGCCCACTTCCACAATCAAGTCCCAAAACACAGATCCCAACCCTGCTCCCACTCTACATACATACATAACAAAAACTATAGCATGCACACAAATCTATGACACACACATAAAGACAGAACATTTTAAAACACACAACAACACACACCTCCGTCACTGAAGTCCCGGGAGAGGTTTCTCTTGGGTCGGGACAGAGGGATGTTGTCTACCCACAGGTACAGCTGGTGCAGAGTCTCCTCATCCACGCTGCTTGCCATTGGCTTCTGGGCAAGGCCTCAGTGCTCCCCACAGAGCCCAACGCCAGCCCCAGGACCCTTCAAGTGCCTCCTCTCGCCCCTGTGAGCTTTCGGATCTACGTTTACTTTCCTACTCGGCACAGATTCAAATCCCATCTGGGAGCAGCCATATTGTTTTCTGAAACCATAGCAACCGTCGCTACTTGCCTGGAAACAGAGACTTCTGGGAGTTGTAGTTTTTCCATATCTTTCCCCTGGGTCCCAGCTTTGAAGGGGCAGTTATCTGTTCATATCTTCCTTTCTTCCCAAGAAGGCATCAGCTATCTGCCCACATCACTTGCTGGCCAATCACTGCCCAATTTGGGCTCTGCCAAAACCAGCTATGTCCCCAGAAACCATTCCCTTCTGTGCCATTTGTCAGTCCTAAAGGAAGCAGCATCTCCATGCATGTTAGCATTTAGGGAGGCAGGCACTCTTTTAGTCTGATACCTACTGATGCTGTGTGATAAGTTATCTATTTTTAAATAAGTATTTTATTTTTGCATGTGTATGGGTGTTTTACCTGTATGTATATCTGTGTACCACATGTGTTCCTGATGCCTGCAGAGGGCAGGTGTTGGATCCCCTAGAACTAGTTTCAGATGGTTGTAAGCCACTATGTGGGTGCTGGGGATCAAACCTGGGTCCTTTAGAAGCACAGCCAGTGCTTCCTCTAGCTCCCTCCAAAGCTCTGTAGACCTAGGGTCATTGCCATTTCCTCATCCCAATGTATCCTACTGGGGCATTTAATATGTAACCCAGATTCCCAGGGAGGGCAGTTTAAGGCCATTTTCTTGGGCAAGGCCATTTAATTCCTTAACCCTATTTCCTTCTTTGTAAAATAGAAAGTTTTCATCTACTTGTCCCAATAATTTATTTTGAAAGAAATTTACAAAATGAAAAAAAGCGTAAGTGGCCTGTATTTGTATGGGGATTAGGGATTAGAAATCCGCTGTATACATGAAAACAAGAGCTTCAGCAGTCACTGTCACACCTCTTATCGTTCTCCAGAGGGATATTCCACGATGGGCTAGAAACTGACTTCTGCAACCAGGACCCTCCTTAACGAAAGAATACAAAGTACTGAAGGGATACTTCCAGAGCCTGCCTGAGGGGAAAGTTTGCTTCCAGCAGCCTAATGTAGCCTTGGGCACATAACTGAACCTCTTCTGCCTGTTTATTGTGGGTTTTGTTACCTCCTAAGGGCATCTGAGTGCTTGACACCTAGCATAGAGAAAGGGCCCTATTGGCATCAGATTGTGTTAAATCCTGGGAACAGTAAGAGGTTCTTATTGGCAGGAAGCAAATTAAAGTGATTTGTCTTGGTACTGGCGATAAAGGACCTGTCTGTTCAGGAGCATCTAGAGAAAACACCCCTGCTCCCTCCTACTTACTACTCAGAGCAGGCCCATTGGGTAGGCTAGGCTTTCTGGTCTCTTCCTCAGAGGGAAGTGTGGCTCAGCAGTGAGGGCTCTTGCCTAGGTTGCTCTAGACCCCGGGTTCATCCCTACTCCAGTACAAATATAAGCACAATTTGCATTAAAAAAAACCCAAAAACTAATTTTCAAGGCTTGGAAATAATCCCCTAGTGTCAGAAATACAAAAGACCCAAATGTTTATGGGCAGCCTTTTTGGAAGGAACCATACTCAGGGCAAACAAGGCACAAAGGATGATTTGGATATCCCCCACCCCCTTACATTCCAGTGTGGGGAGAACTTGGTGGCTGGGGTATGTTAGGGATTGGGAAATTACCAGAGGTAATAAGCCAGCAGTAAGTAAGGTGGGAAAACCGGTTTGGGACTCAGAGTTACCTGCCCTGCTCAGGTCTTTCCTTGACTGGAACCTGTGAGCCCGAGTAAAGGAGAGCCATGAAGGGAGGGGCCAGGCTCTGAAAGGACATGCCCTCACCTTTGGACTGGAGTGGGGGAGTGGCCCTGCACAGTGAGCTACCAACCAACTCCTGGGGGTGCCATGTTTCCTAGTGACTTCACCTTCCTGTCATGGCCTCAAAAGTATTAACAGACTTGAAAATGACAATCACTTGAACAGCCTGAAGAACTTCCTCTTAAAGTAAAAAACGAGGGTTCCTTGCATGTCCCTCCAACTCTAACCTGGCCCATAGCAGAACCGAAGCTTTTCTCATTCCTGCCCAACCCCTGCAAGGATTTTCCTTAACTAGCTTCTGTGGGCTCAGTCTTCAGGGGTTCACCGCCTCATCTGCCCTAACAGACCTCTGGCTCCCTCTCTACTGCCCCACTCCAGTGACCAAAGCTTCTCACTACCATCAAAGGTGGCTAAGGTTAGGGTTCCTGCAGTCTATCAAAAGATACATCACTAAAGGCCCTCCCTCCCCAGAGTTCTCTAACATTTAGATGTGGGTGTCACTGTCTGCCACTCACCCCGGTCGTGGTCATCTGCTCAAACCCTGCTTTCATGTCCCACTACAAGAACCAAGGGGAACCTGGAAAGGATGTGTCCCCCAAGACAGACGCAAGCCCAGACCATGAAGGATGCATCCATGGCTGTTAAAACACTCACTCCCACAAAAGGGGAGTAGACAGATTTATTGAATTCAAACTGGGAAGGGAGCACCTGGACGGCTGGACTCTGGGCCCAGCCCCAGGCCCCTCTGCCCAGGATGGGTGCCTGCAGAGGTTGAGGCACAAGGCCTGCAGCTGCCCAGATTGGAGGTGCCTGCTGTCACTCCTCAAGAGGGCCTCTTGGAAACCTCCAATCTGGAAAGAAAACCAAGGGCCAAAGACTGGGCCAGAGAAAGGGATTTAGGGAGGTGGAAAGCAGGCAGGAGGCAGGCTCAAGAGCCTGCCCTAAGTTACACTGTGCTTCTTTAGGCAGCCTAGAGGTGCAGGACGGGGGATGCTAGTTTTGTGGGAGCCTAGGCTGGACCCTCCTCTGGAGCCCTTTCCAGAATGGCTTTGGGATCCCCCCCACCGAAGACCTGTTTGGGTGGCAAGGGGAGAGGCACTCTCTGGCCAAGAGCTTCCAGGACCTGTCCCTGGCTGCTGCTATGGTCTAGCCCACTGGTGGCCTGGCGTGGTAGCACCGGACAGCTTCCCACCCAACCAGTGCCCTGAGCCCAGGAACTAATGGGGAGGAAACAGGAATCTGAGAAGGAGGCAATAGCAGTGAGGCAGACCTCAGCCCCTGGGCCTGTCTCAGGACCGGGCGAAGCATTACTGAAGGCCCTGCAAACTCCTCCAGCCATCTCCAACAGCTACCCAGAGTTCTCTGCCTTGGGCAGGTGCTGTCCATCTGGGCTGGAGCGCAGCTATGTCCCGCGGATCATCAGCTTTGATGTCCCAGACCCCGAACTCCCGCCTGCCTGGCATGGTTCTTCCTAGTCACGTGGACCAGATCGTGTTCCAAGTGAAGGATGTGGCTCTGCACGCGGTCATCGATGGGAAAGGAGGTCAGGTACCGTTTGACCATGGCAAAGTAGGCCATGGCCTCCCCAAAGCTGGGTACAGGGACCTCATCGCCATCATCATCATCATCCTCATCGTCATCGTCTTCCTCATCCTCCTCTTCATCTTCTTCCTCTTCATCACTGTCTGAGTCCGAGTCCTCCCCACCTTCCAGAAAATGGAGGGTGGGGCACTGGGCCTCTTCCTGGACACTGTAACCCCCAAAGCCACCACTGGCCTCCACTACTCCCTGGGCCCAGTCTTCAGTCTCTAAACCCTCAGAGGAGCTTTCTTCTTCTTCCTCCTCCTCCTCTTCATCACTGTCATCAACCTCACCCTCCTCTTCCACCTCTTCTTCCTCTCCCACCTCCTCTCCTTCCCCACCTTCCTCCTCCTCCCCTTCTTCTTCCTCTTCTTCCTCCTCCTCTTCCCCTTCACCCTCCTCCTCTTCTTCTTCCTCCTCTTCCTCTTCCTCCTCCTCTTCTTCTCCCTCACTCTTGAAGGAAGTGGTGATAGTGGCATTAAGGCCACCTCCAAAACCGGCCTCCCGAAAGCAAGTTGCTATGTCCGAGGGCTCCACTGCTTGCCAGGCTGCGGCCACAAAGTGTAGGGCCTCCACCAGGCCCAGCTGCAGGCCTGAGGGATCCTGGCCCTCAAGTGCTGCCATGGCCTTGAGCAACATCGCCTGGCGGTAGTGGCCCTTCACCTGTTGGACCACTCCTCGCTCCAAAGGATGCACAGTGCCAGGAGGGAAGAAGGCCAGCTGCACGTGCCGCAGGCCCGAGGTGTCCAAGGACTGGGCAGCCAGACGGCCAGCCAGCAAAAGGACCCGACGAGATTCTGCAGCCATTCGGGTGTCCAGCGCTTTCAAGTACTTAGCTAGGGCCTGGGTAGTGACTCCACCCTTAGAGTTGGCGGTGTAGTCACAGGGCAGACCACCTTGGCCTGCACGGGGCTTGGCGGACTTGCCTGCGACCAGCGGGGGAAGCTTTTCGCTGCCATCAGCGTTGGCGCACAGCAAAACGCTAAGGCGCTGGGTGGCCTGGCGAGCCGTCCCATCACCTCCCCAATGCCCCGAGGCCTGGTCGGACAGAAAGTCGTACCACAGGCTGGTCTCGGTGGCGCTGAACACGTCCTGCGAGGCGTAGCCCTCAGCCACCGACGGCGGCTGCTCCTCCCGCGTGCGCCAGCCTGGGGTACTCCCACCGCTGCCCTCTGAGGGCACCGCGGCTGGGCCGGCAGGTGCCGCTGGGGCTCGGGGGGTAGAGCTTCGAGACCGGGAGCGGGTCACGCCGCTACAGGCCACTACACCGTGGCGCCGGCGGAAGCGATCCAGCCAGCCGTTGGAAGCCGTGAAGTCGTCCATGCCCAGCTCCTCCGCTATCCGTAGCGCCTTCTCTTTCAGGATGATGCCCTTGACCGGCAGGCCCGCGGCGCGGATCTGCTGGAACCAAGCAATGAGGAGCCCCTCCAGCTTGTCGTACGGGGACAGCTTGTTGGTCTTGCGGCAGGTGGAGGCCACTCCGTACTTGCGCTCCGACGCCAGGATGGCGCGCTTGTTCTTCAGGATGGTGCTCAGCGTGGACGGCGGGATGTTGAAGCGCCGCGCGATCTCGCCCTTGCGTAGGTCCGGGTTCTCCTCCACCTCCTGGATGATCCGCGACTTCTCCCGGAACGTCAGCTGCCGCCGCTTGGGGCCCATCCCGGCGCGCCCTCCGCCCCGGGGCCCGGCACCGC